GACATGAACAGGGTGTTCACTGAACTTCCTGGGAGGATGTCATTTGATGTTTTGCCTGTGAATAATTCAGATGAGGAATGTCTTCCCTTTCATTTTTATAACTATCGAGCCCTTTCACTTTCATTTTTACCTTGCAGGTAACTACACAATTTACTACTGGAGGGGTTTCACAGCTGGCACATTGATTGGATATACTCTGGTTTTAAACTGTGGGTCAGATTCTGAGGAGAGACCCAGCATCCATTCCACTCTTATTTTTCTAACATGATACTGACTGCTTCAGCGGATATGGTGCCATATTTTTGATACATCTGGAACAAATGATCCAATCACCAGATTTTGAGAAACTAAGTACAAATACAAGAGAAACACAAATAAGTTAAAATGCAAGCAAGCAAGAGATTTACAGCTAATGAAATTCATTATTTCTTAAAGTGAAGGTAACAAAAAGGAGGAGGTTAGGGCAATAATGAATTTTTAAAAGACAAACATGTTGAATCAGATGGCCTTTATCTCAGAAATCTTACTGCCTTTCTTTCCTTGGCACTTTCTTCAGATACCCTTCCAACACCCTGAGGCACAACATGGGACAAAGACCTTCAATGAAAAAAAACACATAAAACAGTACAAGTCCTGTAATTTGTAGTAATGAAAAGCAGTTTTTCTCATGTATGTCATGAAATTGGTCTGCTGGTCTGTACAGTAAGCTAACAGAGACCATCTGAGCATCACAGTTTACAGTTGACATTGTTTACATGGGTATGCGTGCTCAAAGAAGTGGAGATGACATGTTCTTATTTTGGAAATTGCTGAGCAGATACGCAATATTCCAAGCCTTTCTGAAAGTTTCCTGATCTCCTGGAAGGTGTTTTCTGGGAGCATAAGGATTTTTATTGATGCTCTGCAGAGTTCCTCTTAACTGTGAGATGAGTATATTGTGCCCCGACTTTACAGTTAGACCTGTAGAAATAATTCAATAGGAATGACCCCTTTTTAACTTAGCCTAGATATTTTTTTTGTAAGTGGGCAATAACACTGCCCTGTTAAAAGAGTGATTTTGACCCTGAATCTTCCATGAAGGAAGATGTGTGTGTGTTGTACTCTGCATATATCAGCACTTGATTGCCAGATCACAACACTTAAGTTTATTAAGCTCTACGTATTTGTACTATAATTGATTAGTATTTTTTTTTATTTCACATTAAGTTTAGAATACAACAAAAAAAATTTAAAGGCTTTCATTTATGACTTCCATCCCAGTCTGCGCAGCTGTTTATAGAGCTAGGTTTAAGGCTAGTTGAAAGCTAAAAATTGTGTTGCAAATGCATTTGCACACATGCCATGGTCTCATTCTATTTGTTCTCTTTAAACATATTTATATGGTAACACATCAGCACTTCAATTCATCCAGAATTAGCCAGGAGGGGCAGGGAGAGGGAGAATCCAGGCAAGTAATGGTATATGTCAATTCTAGCACTCTCTTAACTGTGATACTCCTGCAAACTTTGTTTGCAGTCATTTCACTTTTATTAAATTTAACTGCTTAGTTTTCCAAACCAAATATAGTGAATTCAAGGATTTGGCAAACTGTAACTACCAAGATCACTTTTGGGAAGACGTTACTTGGTTCTCATTAAAGACAGAACTGAGGGGGAAAATGGAAAATCAGACACTGAAGCCATAGATATTTTCTGCATATTCTCAGAACTGTGTATTGCTTATTCTAGGGAAGGAATGAAAGCATTATATCCGTTAATCACTAGCTGTCACAGAATTATTTCTTATTAAGAAAACTCATATGATTTTGTGAAACCTTAAGTAAACACAGAAAGATTATTACTTTATATACTACCTGATAAAAAAATATACATAATTAAAAAAACAATAGTGATGTTTGTTATTACTGTGGACTGTGAATAGAAGGAAAATGGGACAGACAGTACCAGGTGTGGGTAAAAAAACGATATTTATGCCTACACTGAAGCACTTCACTGTATGCAGTGAAAGAACAAAGTGACACTGAAGGGGAAGAATACCCACAAAGAACTTAAAGCCCCAAGAAAGAAAAAGGACCATGTTGAGAGGTCAGGTATGCTTGATGCTACCCTCAAATGCATTCAGTGATGAACAATGAGGCAGTAATAAGGACGAGGCAAATATCTACTCAGACTTTCTATGCATCATTAATCAAGCCAGTGGGTATGATGGCTGAACCAAAAAACTCAAAGAAGACAACTAATCTTGGATCAACCCACATCTTTTTCATTTTCTCCCCAGCAAAACAAAAAACTGAAAAGGGGTTGACCAGAAACAGAACATTTTGTCTTCAGTTTATTTACTCCCTCTTTTAGTTTCATTAGTTAAATTTGAAGCAAAACACTGATAGTTTTGTTCTGAAAATGCTGTAATGCAATGCTTAGTCTTTCCCAAATATATTTACTTTCTGAATATTTGTTCTGAAACCATTTATTAAATTTGACCCGATTTCATAAATACTTTTGTTCTCCCTTCCTGATGTGTTGAACTGGTTAATCACATTCTCCATTGCCAGTATTTTGTTTCCCAGGAACAAAGAACATTCATGTTTTCTCCTTTTATCCTTTAATTGAAATGCATAATGCCTCATCACCAAAATACTTGAGTGTTTTCCATATTTAAAAATGCTCTCCAAGAAACCTCTTCCCTTCACTTTCCCTCCTTGTGGTATAGCAACAATGTGAAAATGAGAAATCAGTATAGTTAAATTTAAAGATATGTGCATGAGTGGAAAAAGGTGAGGTTGAAGAGATGCTTTTTGTATGCAGTTCTGAAATTGCAAGGTATTTGTCCATCCTTTCTGAGGTTCTTCCTTCAGGGAGCAAGTGGGGGGATGGAATGGTGTAATCCCTCGAAAGCAAGCAGTTATTTCGAGGTAGCATCAACCTGACTCAGAGTTTCTGTTCCAAGTCCAAAGTCCTGAATTAAAAAGGGAGGGGAGTGTATGTGGTGTTTAGCTAGTACAGACAGGATAGCACTACACCAAATTCTCTACAATCCTCGTAGCTACAGTCTACCGAGTTTAGCAGCAATTTAATTTTTTCCCCATGACATAGCTATATATCTGTTGTGCTCCTTGGTATAGTGAACTGCAGTAATTAAAGTAACAAATCCACTGACAACCACGGGCCACTACAGAATCCCCCAATTCAATGTACAGTCTTTCTGGCTAGTTTCACATAGGAGGATGAGAAGTACTTTAAAGCCAGGGATAATTTGGACAGCTGCTCTCTATAAAGTCAACAAGATCATAATAAGTCTATTAGTTTGACAACTGAAAGCCGCAGATCCCAAATGAGGACCAAAAAAAATACCAGTTCATTTTTTTTGTGAGGAATTTTCCTCTTTTCAGACAAATGATCTCAAACTTGCCTAGCCTGAGCTTCAGTTAATAGTTTTGCCACACTGAGCAATCCTGAAGGGGATTGTGCTAAATTCAGAGTCAAGAGGATGCCTTGCTTCGCTTCTGCGGTGGTTCTGTGCAGGTATTTGATAAGACAGAGCACAGGAACGAGCTGTTTGGGATGCGGCAGTTGAGTGCCCTGGAGATGGAGGAAAGCTGTCCACTATGACTCAGACACAGATATCTTAGCACAGTTCCCATGTAAATGAATTGAGATAGAAGTATAATGTTTAGTTGCTAATTACATTTAGACTCCTTTGGGGAACCCACCAAGATTTCTATGAATGTACAGTTCCAGCCAGTGAACAGACAGAATTAATCCATTGGTTTGCTCTAACAGGGGACCTAAAGAGAACAATTATTTACACTGCTGTGATTGCCCTTCTTCAAGGTTACATTCTCCATACAGATTCCACTGTTGTTCCTCATATGAGATGATTTTTCTTTGAAGAGCAATGAAAGCTATTACATTAGCTATCCACTTAGTTATTTTTCTAAATTAACAGCAGTGCTTTTGGTTAATGATAATGATTTTTTTTTCATTAGTGGCATCTTTAGCCCTCATAAGACACATTTAAAAAAAAAATAATAATTAAAGAATTGGAAAATAAAACTTGGGAGACACTTCAAAAGGTTTTTTCGTCATAACCCGATTTTCTAGCAATGATTTTTCATGGCAGATATTTGTCCAACAAAAACTGTTTGTTCTAAAGACCCTCCATACCTTCCCCACGTTACCTCTTCTAATGCTTAATTCTACCATTACAACATTGTTCCTAATGACTTGATCTAAATTTCACTTGATGCAATTTAAACCCATGTCTTGCTGTCCACCGATTGTGCTCGGGTTTTCATATGCACTCTGCGTCTAGTTGAGATCTTGCCAGTGCTGAGATAGCATAAAGATTTCTTCAGCTGGGCAGTCACTTTCCACAGTGGCATGATGCTGTTAATGCATGTTCAGCTTGCAGTCCCAATATAGCCCCTTATCCCTTGGTGCAGAAGTGTTCCTTAAACTGACATTCTTCAGCATAGGTTCATGAAATTCATTACTTCTATGCAAAAATACTGCCTTTATGCTTTTCATTTGCTTTTAAAAAAAAAATGGTGCACTCACGGATTTTGTGTATTTACTCAAATATTGCGTTCATAAAAATACAGATTTTTATAAGTTGGAAGTAGCAAAGTGGATGTACACTACTGCAAATAAGATTTTTGGTGTAAAATATTGTAATTTTTTATCATCAGTTCTCTGTTCAAGATAGTTTGAAGACAAAGGAGTATGGGGTTGTTTATAGGCACATAATGCATGTGCAGGTTCACAAGAATGATCAGTAACTGACAATACAGCAAAAGATGCCTTATTTAGCTCTTTCAAACAAGAGGTAGCTGAGGAATGTAATAGTAATAGTCTCATTTTACAACCAGATTTTTAAAGAAATCATGTTTTCATTAACGATCTTCAGGCTCTCTCTTGTTTCTTCACATTGTGGCTATTGCAGGTTCCAGATCAGATTTGATCAGGTGTTTATGTCTGTTCTTAATGTTTGAGGAAGGGGAAATGGCCTCACTGTCAAAATACCGCTGGGGCTGCTGCATTCCTCTCCTGTACTGCCGGGTCTGTTCATGGGAATTCTTGGTCGAGCACGAACATGTAACACTGATTCCTAAACGCTATGTCGAGTGCTTATACACACACCAAGTAGGTTCTCATCAGCAGTCAGCGTGGTCTGTATCAGATCCAATGGGAAGGTAGTGTTGGACTGCATTCTATGAAATTAAGGTAAGTTTTAACCTGTAAGATAGGGTGCTGCATTTTGGCTAGCCTGGGTCAGCTTTCTGTGTCAGAGTCATTTCACATTTTAGGCACTACATTTTAGGAGAATGTCATGAATACTAAGGTGCCTTTGCAATGTCAGGGAGACCTTCCTAGGTGTAGATGAAGAACAGAGAGTTTTCATGAGCAAACTATTTTTTCTTTCTAATACGATACATTTGTTTTTTTCTTTTAGGTGGAGAGGATCGTAGACAAACGGAAGAACAAGAAGGGCAAATGGGAATATCTCATCAGGTGGAAAGGCTATGGAAGCAACGAAGACACCTGGGAACCTGAACATCATCTACTACATTGTGAGGAATTTATTGATGAGTTCAATGGACTACATGTTACTAGAGAAAAGCGATCGAGACATGGGAAACAGGCCAGCGCTCCAAAATTTTTACGGGAAAGCCGAGGGTCATCTGTTGAGAAAATATCACATAGACCTTCTGAATCTGGGAAGTCTAAAGGGTCAACACACAAAAGGAAGAGAATTAATCCATCTCTTCAAAAACAGAAAAGAGGATATGCAGCAAAGCCAGCATCTGCTACTGACAGGGCTGCTAAAACTGTGACTTACCGAACTACTCCCAGCGGTTTACAGATCATGCCACTGAAAAAGCCACACAATGGTCTGCAGAATGGAGATGGCACTCATGAAAAAGATTCTAGACATTTTGGGAATGGCTCACAACAGCAAAACATGGATTTAAATGATCACGAAGGAGAACAAAATTTGCCCAGCGTGTTGGAAGTTAGTAATGATTCACCTGTTGTGAATGGAATTGGTATGTGATTTAAACTACAGTCTTTGGGAGGGCGGGTTTAACTGCAGCAACTGCAAACAGAGAGTCCACCCATGGAAAAATTGTTGTCATGCTACACAAGTGATACGGTGAGAAGCATATAAACAAGTTCACTCTCTTTCCCCATGCATTATACCATTTTTTTATCAGTTGGCTTCTCTGCTTCCGCTTCTCACGGAGCGACACGAAGCAGCGTGGGCTTTGTTACATGCCTTTGCAATGTAAAGTCCTTGTGGGGAAATGATGACGAGGCAGCGGATGTACGTATAATACTGCAACTTTGGTTTTGTGTATCACCAAGTAACAGATCATTTCTCAGTTACGTGTGCTCAGACCCAACGGTCTAGAAAGATCAGGATTATTTTAGAAACGCAATTAATACCACTCTTGCTAAAGTAAGCGGGTAAGTATGGCTGAATAACATTCAAGTTCCTCAGTATTAACGCTCGTCATAGTGAGGAGTACGCAGCACTGCCAGGTGCTTCTCTCGGACAGTGACTGGATACATCAGAAGTTGCAAGACATACTTTACAGGAAGGTACAAACAGCCTTGAAGTGAACAAGAAGAAATAGGAGAAATTTCTAATCCTCAGTTACTGACTGGCTTAGTTCTCAAAGAATAAAGGTTTATGTTCTCTATAAATACTATTCAGCTTAATGCAACTAAGTAGCTTCTCGTTATCCATACATGTCCAATCTTTTTTTTTTTTTTTAATCCTACCAAATTTAAAGCCTTGATGGCGCTTTGTGGCAGTAATTTCCAGGAGTTGACAATGAGATGCACATTTTGTTTCATCAATTTGGGGGGTTTTAGGCTTTGTTTGGGTTTTTTTGACCTTTACTTTCATTGAATAAGCTCTTGTCCTTTATGAAGGGATAAAGTGGGAGATGTCCTGTCAATCAGGCAGCTCCAGCTTTTTTAGCTTTCCTACCACACGGAAGTCTTTGCAGATTCCTGGTAGCTTTCTGTATCCTCTTGTGCCTTTGGCGTGTGGGGTTTTGTTAATACCTTTTAAAAACAGCAGGAGCTGTTCCAAATTATTTCTGCCTGCTTACTGATACAGTGGCGATACAACCTTTTAAGAATTATTTTTTCTGCTGTTACACACTGCATAAAGGTTTTCATTGAGTGATATACAGTTGCTCGTAGGTTTTTTTTCTTGCTGGTTACAGTTAATTTAGAACACAGCTATATGTGTGATTTTTCATTATGCGTTTAAACTGCTTTACTGTTGCCAGTTCACCTTTTTCTCATGACGCAGTGAAGCTCTTCAAAATCTTTCCTAGTTTTTACTCTACTTATTTTGTATTCCCTTCAAATTTTCCTCTCATACTTCTCTTCCCAGTTCATTAATACATACATTAAATAAACTAATCCTTCGGCAGGTCCTTGGGGCAGCCGACTACTAATCATTTGACATGATGAAAAGTAACCATTTGTTCCAATTATTTATTTTTATTAGCCACTTTCTATAGGCCATGATAGCACTCATTTCCTTAATAGCTTCTTGTGACTTGCCCTGCCAAAAACTTTTCAAAAGTCAACATAAATTCTATCACCCCGCTTTCCATTTTCCATCCTACTGGCAACCTTGCAAATGCTACTGGATTTGAGAAGTAGAACTGACCTTGCCTAGTCTTACTGGTTACATCCTATAACTACTGGGATCTTTCAATGCCGGCATGAAATACCTTGTTAAAGACTCCCAAACCAGCAAAATGTGTGGTCAGCTATCAATGCATAAGTAGCCCAGATGATGTCGATGACACTTAAAATTGAGAGTGCAGCAGGCTTTTGTATTTTGATGAGTTTGAGCTCATATAAGATTGCTTTAAAAGTTACTTGCTTCTTTAAAAAGACTTGCATATCTAATTACAGGTGTGTATAAAGTTATTTTTCTTTGCTTTCTTACTGTTTCTAATGAAGATTTTTTTAATCATTTGTTTTATGTTATTCATTGGGGAAGTGCTGATACAAAATGCATCTTTAAAATGCATTAATTCCCATATCTTAGAATCTTTTTTTTTTTTTAACAAAGAACTAAAGAACCACAAAGAACTGTAAGGTCAAATGAGCTTTTCATTTCCCCCCACAAGAGCTAATGAATGGCATCCACCAGCCCCTGTTTGACTAATCCCTGGAAGAGAGCTCTATTTCAGTAGAAAGCTGCTTTGCCTACGCAGCCAGGTGTTCTGCCATGTACAGAGGACTCCTGGCCTAACAGCTGATGTGTGCAGCTCCTTTAAAACATTTCTTTATGATAGTTTTTGTATTCTCCCAATCCATCACTTCTGTTCTCTATTTTGCTCTCCTTTCTGCCTTGCATTCTGACCTCCGGGTAGGCAAAAGCAAGACATCTTTAAATCTCTACCTGGTTCTTGTCTGAAAAACCCATACCCAGCAGCGCTCCCAAGGTCAGAAATCCCTCCAGTCTTGCTGCATGATACCCAGCACATGCATAGTGGAGAAAACTACAAAGAGGAGAGATGAGACTACCAAAGTAAGAGCTGACAGAAACTGTGAAAGAAGGGTCAAAATAAAAATACTAGGTTTTTTTCTAATATTGCCCTACAAGCTTGAGAGAACCCATATTTCCTGATACAGGATTTTGCATCATTTGAAATGTCAAATTGAAGACACTTGCACTACTCTTCAGCAAGTCCAACAATTTACTGAACTCCCTCTAAACTCACACTCACAGGGAAGTAGCGTAGAAGATGCCAGTATGGTTCTGCCATTGTGTCCTGTTAGTTTCACAAACTCACTATTTTAATCGGGACAGATGTCAAACTAAAACTGGTCTGAAATTTTACAAATTACAAATGAAGAAAGTTTCAGAGAAAAATGCCAATTTGTTGAATAACAGAAGTTTTGTTCCAAACATCTTGGGTTTCAGAACTTTCTCCAAATCTGAGCCAAGGTCCCAAGGCTTTGTCCCCTGAGACCGGGAGCAATGTGGCAGTCTGCTTGGCAGGACTCCCACGTTTAGTTCTGAGGCAGCCAGCTCTGCCAGAGGTTTCAGGCAGTCTGCCACAGAGTCTGGAAGTCGAAAGCCCGGCATGCCCCATCAACGCTCGCGGGGCTCCCAGGCACTATAAGTAGAACAAAGAGGGAGCCTGGAGGACCTGGGTTTGGCTCCCAGAAGCTGGGGCTCTTGGGCAGCCCTGTGCAGAATCCGATGAAGCAGTCATTTGTGTCAGCTTTGAGATTGCCTATATGGAGCCCAAAGGAATGTCAGAGTCATTTCACAGCTAAGTGTAAGAGTGCACAGAAAATGTATATAGAAATTTTAAGTTGGTCTTGAGATGAAGCCTAGATTTGGAAAACTCAAAAATTCCCCCCAGTTTGAAAACACAGCTGTAGGCCCAGCTCTGCTACCAGTGTTGGCCTATGGTTGAAGGCCTCCAAAACCCATCAACTTGAACTGGTATTCTTTCATATTATGATAATGTTTAACTACCAGTGTATTGAACCAAGCAATATAATTAGTAATTTATAAACTATAACTAGTCGAAAAATATCTGTTTTGTTTGTCTGTGGTATGCCACATAGCGATTTGAAAACTAGTTTTTGATGACTCCTTGAATGGACTTCACCAGTCCGTGTTTGGTTTTGTGTTTACATCCACTTGGGTACAAGCGTTTCCTGCTCAACCTATAGATAAAACTCTCACCAGTAAGCTATTTACCCCAGAAAGATGACTGTGTACCTACAAATGTACGCAGAAAATCATATATGCACCCTAGTGTAGGCCTGGAACCTTGCTGAAGTCGACACAGACCTGTCTTACCAAAACTTCTCTACCACCTTCTACACATCCCGTCATAAGGAGAGTAGAGTCATCTTTACTGACAGTTATTTAAGGGTCTGCAAATTGGAAAATGTTGAAAAACTGCAGAACATCCACTGATGCTCCCAGCAGCTAACAATACTGTTCTTTCTGATGATATTTGTTGTCTTCTGGTATCACATTTCTGTTTCTCTCTAGATACTGTAATTGAGAGTGATTGTTTTGTCAAGAGTACTGACAGCATCAAAAAACATCCCCTTTTAATTTTCTCTTTCCTTTTTCTACATTGCTCTATTCCTGTATCATCTGCTGAAGATTTTTTGCTTGTCATGTATCACTAACCACTTTTTTTCTCCATTACGAAAATCTTTGTAGTCTCCTGGTGCCCTTAATTTAAATACTCTCTATGAACTTAGTCACTGCTTCCTCTTGTTTTTTTTAGCTTGTTCTGTTTTATTTATTCTGGAGCAGTACTGGCAGTAAAAGACAACCAAATATGCTTGCTTTCTCAGTTTGGATCAAAACTCATTACTTTTAGATATCTTACAGATGCTCCCTTAGCTGGAGAAGTCCGAAATTATTAGTAAATTATCAACAGAACACTGCTTTTAAGTATGTACAGTATTAACCGTTACCCACAAGAAAGACAGAAGGGAGACAGTGAAAGGCTATTGGCAAGACTGAGGAATGCCAAGCTATTTTACCAGGGAGACTAAGGGAGCATGGTTTATTTCACCTAGAAGAATTAAAGCCCGAGCTTCCTGTTCCCTTTCGTTCAGCATAAATGCATGCTGCTAACAAAAGGAACAGTCCAGCCCTCCTTCCCATGGTATTCTCATCATGATTCCCATCCCTTCCCCTCTACCAGTTTCAGTGCTTTTGAGCCTACAAGGTGAACCTGATCTGTTTGAAAATTAACCATGGTTTTGCAGCGTGTTTCCAGCCAGAACAGTTCATCAGGGTAGTTCACCGTATGGCTACCTACCTGCACACTGGTACCAGCACAAGGATCACTACGTAGGGTGGTGGCACAGAGACTGCTCCATTAAACTGCCTGAGATGAAATGCTAAGAAAAGATGTATCTGAAAATAACAGTAGGTTGAGGTGTCCTCTTCTAGCAGATAGAAGCAGTGGAAGGAGATGGGGAGATCCGAGTCCTCTGAAACATGGAGTGATGTGAGGCTCATTGCGATCTTCTCTCTCTTTCCTTTCCTACTCTTTGCCTGCCTCAGCTTATAAATTTCTACTGTGTTTTCTGCAATGCCTGGTATAATGGAGCCCCAGTCTCAGACTCCATCTGGAGTCTTTAGGCACTTTGGAGTACCAACAGCAGCAGCAGTAACATAGTTACATGTTGTTCCCTTTGACAGTAGTGGAGTACTAGGGAAGATACAGGGACAGGCAACTAAAACGATGAAGAGGAATAAAAGAGGCTTCAGTCAGGAGAGAGGGAGGCTGAGGGGGAATATGATCAAAGTTTACAAAATCATCAAGGCCTCAGATAAAGTAAATGCGGAACTGTTGTTCACTAAATCCCTCAATAACAGAACTAGGGACCACTCACTGAAACTGGTAGAACATGAGATAAAAGCACTGATGAAAGACATTTTTTCTCTGTGTAGTGGCTACACAGCTTCTCAAACTCATACCACAGGAGGCTGTCTGTGGAGACAGACAGCATGAACAGGCTCAAAAGGGGATTAGAGAAATCCACGAAAATGTCCATGAGCAACTACTGAAGGAAACAGGAAGGATGAATCCTCTCATAGTGCTATACAACTTAGGGATGATACTAGGGGAAAGGAGTGCAGAAGGTGGCCAAGCTTGCGTTTTCTCCTTAAATAGCATCTTTCACTGCCATTCTCAGAGAAGGGTTACTAGATGCACCAGAGGTCTGGGAATACCTGAAATTCCCTTAAAAAATATTGACACTCTAAACTTCAGCGTGTTTTTAGGTATTCCAAAATTTCTACTGCTGATTGAAAACAAGGTAATAATTAGACTAAACTCCCACTAAAGGAAGGAACATTTTCTCCTGTTTGGTTTTCTTTTTGTACTGAGACTGAGCATCAAATGCTCACTACTAACCAGTAAACCACATTTAGAGGTAGCTAAAGCTTCCTTAGTTAATTTGTGACATCTTTAATTTGTTTCACACGCAGTATAGATTGCTTTGAGAATGCCTCTTTGCTCCAGAGCAAACTTTCTGTAGCTCCATCACATCCATGCAACAGACATGCTCCGTTGGCCTGGTTTCACTTGAGTGTTGTCTTTGGATTTTGCTGATCATTTTCTCCAGTTTATCAGATTAAGCAAGATTACAGGGATACACAGTATACACTGAAACAAAAATTTACTCATTATATGTTGCTCTGTTAATCATCCATTCTTGGAAATTATACTTTTCCATTTATGTTTCTCTCCTGTTTAATTTAGATTTTTCTTTCTTCCGGTTAAATTTCTGTCAGCTGGTATGCATACAGTTAAAATATTTGTGTGAGGTCTATAGTTTCTTACATCATCTTTTTAATTTACAAACTGAATACATTACTCAAACAAAGAATACAACAAAAAATTAAAATAAAATCATTACTATGAGGCTTTTTATTGAGCTAGATTATCTGTGTGAGTTAAGCTTCTACCATGCTCTCACCATCTGTATTTAAAATAGACGTGACATAATCTTCAACACTAGGTAGATAATCAGTACAGTTGGTCTGACACACATTCAATGGTCATTTGTGCCCCTGATTTTATAAGTTCTTTACACTTTAACTCTTCACATCTTAGTAGTTTATTGCTGGGTCAAGCAACACAGTAAGGATTGAATAGATAAAAATGCAATATTTAAAAGTCTGCCTATGTCAAATAATTAATTTGTTTCAGTATTTTCCCAATGCTGTTAGTTTTCTATTAGTAATTTCACAAGTTGATTGTTGTTTGTAAGAATACATGTCAAAATATATGCAGTAGCAAAACCTTATGAAAAAGCAGAAATGTGCTATAAGAAATTATTCATAATTTTTAAAATTCAAGCACATGGTGATTTCTACACTTGTGGATAATTCTTGTCAAGACAACAAATTTCAAATTGTGCTGTCTTCAAATGCCTTTTTGTTTTTTTCAAATTGATGATCTAATGTAACTTGTCCATGTTTGCATATCACCAGTTAAATCCCCTCTTCAGTATAATATAGGCAATGCTTTTGATGGTGTCTTTTAATTTAACAATGAAAAAGTTTTATGACTGACTGAAATAGCAGGCTTTTTAACAAACATGCATTTCTGTCTGTCGATATATGTGTACACCATGCACGCATTACATGGTGAGGCCAAACGATGCACCAGTTCAATACTATTAAGCACTCTATATATTTTCAACATCACATATCATAGCTGCAATGTATATACAGGCATTTCACACACTGAGCAGTTCCACAGGCCATTGCCAACTGAGAGGTATCAGACAGTTTCAGTTACCTACGCAAACGTCAAGCTGAAACATAGCTAATCCAAAATGAGGGCAAGTGACTTTGGTTTTGAGAGTAATCTGTTATGAATTGACGATTCAGTTCTGTTCCAACAGAGTATTTTTAATTGAATAGTTGTAATTTAAACTATAAAATTTAAATCTATGTTCTAATATTCATGGCATCTGCCCTTTAAAAATTCCTGGCTATTTGATACCAGAAGCTGGAAAGGGTCAGTGTTGGCAGGAGAAGGAACGGAACAAACAAAGGTGTTTTCATTCAGCTTTTTCTTGGCCTTTCTTAAATATGGCATGTTGTGGGCTCATGTCTATTTAAACAAAAAACGTATCTGGAAACTATTTCAATGAAGAGAGTAACTTTAATCTCTGTTCCTCAACAACCTGTCTTTGCTTTACTTTTAATGGCAATAGTGTGAAACATCTGTAATTAGAAAAGGAGTTTTGTATAAAAATCTTGTAAAGTTATTTTCAAGATTGCGGCTCAGCTGTGTTAGCGATCATAACATGTTGCCTATTCCAGAGGAATTGTAAACATAAGCAAAGTAGTAGTTTACAGTTCATACACAGTGGAAGTCAGAATAAACTGTCTTTTAAAATTGATGTACTATTACTCTCATTTGGTGGTTTTATGGAGGAACTATTCTTTCTTGTCATAGTTCCCTTTTTTCCCTACTGCTGGATACCCTCCAAAATGTCATCAGCATTAATATTTTCTATGTACAAAGTCCAATATTAATATCATATCTGTTAGTCAAAAGTCAGTAATTATTGAGCAGAAGCTTGGGATCAGAGCAAAGAGGATGGCTAACTGCTACTTCTGATGCTAACCACAAGGATACGTTGAAGACAATGGCAGTTGTGTCAGCTTAGTGAGAACTCGCTTAACTTAGAGATGCGCAACAAGTGTCTATTCAGATTTCATTTGAAACTGATAATGACATTTTGGTCACCATACAGGAAGACAGCGTAACTTTGAAAGATGGGATTCGGACTAAACCTGTCGTGTCAAGTTCTTCCGAAGCTGAATTAGAATTTTCCTATGAATTCAAGGATCACCCCAAATTCATATGAAAGACTACAATACAGTTGCTTTCACCTTCAAAGCAGAACTGAATCCCATTAAGAGCACCAGTCCTACATGCTATATAATTCTTGGATCTAGAGGTTATCTGATCAGAGAACAGAAAGTACTGCATGTTGGAATACAGAATAATAAGAATGGCTTGAGGCTACATTTGACTAGCCAGGCATACTTTTGATTTATCAGATTTTTCACGTAGAGGCTATTGTAAATACTGAGCTATGTTTAAGCTAATAGAAAGTATCACTCCATTTCTTTGAAGGTAGAGACATAATTATGCTTTGATTCTTTCCATCTCAAAGGTTCTTCTCTGGCCAATGGAAGCTTGAATCTACACAGCACTGTGAAAAGGAAACTAGATGGGGAGAAAGATTATGTCTTCGATAAGAGACTAAGGTACAGCGTACGTCAAAATGAAAGTAACTGCCGGTTCAGGGACATTGTAGTCCGGAAAGAAGATGGTTTCACCCATATTTTGCTGTCGAGTCAGACTTCAGATAACAATGCGCTGACCCCAGAGGTAAGCATGTAGCCATAAAACCCAAGAAAGCTATCCTGATGTGTGGGTTATCTTGGAAAAAGTGCACTTGAACTGGATTTTATGAATTTTGATCCTAATTGATTATCTTAAGAAAGAAATACGGAGTTCAGATATATCTAACTTTTTCACATTTGGGATTACTATCAAAAAGAATCCAATGGAAAATAATTTTTAATTTACATGTCTGAAACTGAAAATTAGAAGTAAAGAAAGGAATGGCAGAAGCAGTATTTCCAGCAGAGTTGTATGAAGCAGTTGTTCACATGTTGAAGTTACTGATATTTACTATCCTTAGAGAAATCTGGTCTCTTTCATTTTATTAATTTAAATAGTGCTCCAGTTGTTGCATACGGAGGAATTTCAGGCTATATCCTGAGACACTAATTCTAAAAGTATACCTTGATCCCTAATTGCTTTTTCTGTAAATCACTTTGTGAGTCCTTATTTGTGAAATCTTAACCAACTGGGGGCTCTTTTCTCAGCTGAAATGCATAAAGTCCTGATATATGGAGTTGTGATATCATAACGATATTAATGAATTCCCTTGTTCCAAACATTATGCACTTGAGAGTCAGACTGGGCCTTGTAGCTTGTACTCCTCCAGTATCTATATTGGTCACTGGAAAGGCTGAGAAGCTTTCCCTTCCATTCCCGGTGATCCCAGCATAGTGGGCAGCGATGCCCTAGTATACCTGTGCCATGTCAGAACAGAAGGGGTGTCAAAAAATGTCTCCATCATGATGCACTTCCTGGAGAGCAGAGAACATGCTTGAGCCCTGTTCTACATGGGCATTAATGGCCTGATGGAAAGGGGTTACTGTAGATCAGAGAGGAAACAACAGGAGCTGCCTCCCAGCACCAATTTTGCCTGTCTGAGCCTTCTGCAGGCAGAGTTCCTCCGTGAGCTGCCCGCAGTGTGGCAGATCTCTACCTTCTCTGCCCTCCAGACACGCCAGTGCAGCTCTGGCTTATACAGTAACTTCAAGATAAGAGCATACAAAATGCCAGTTTGAGCACCATTTGAGGGAAAAGTAGATTGTAGCTTTGAGGAATTATTTTATTGAATAAGAAACTGAATAACTTTGAAATTAATTACTTGTAATGAGCTTCAGATAAAACCACTGGCAGCTATGATTGCCCTTCCCAAATGCACACCTACACATGGACATTAATACACAGAGTTAAAACTGTTGGAACATACATTTATCACTCCTAGTTTTTAAACTATATGATATTTGAAAGGACTACCTTGGTAATTAACATGGAACACCAAACACCTGTTCTTAATACTAATACCTTAAAATGCATTAGATTGCATCAAATCCACCATTTCATCCATGTATTAATTACCACTAATTGACACTGAAGGAAATTTAAACAGCAGTCAAGGGCCTGAAAAAGTATGAAATCAAGGACTTCCTTTGCTGAACAGACATACCTTTGCGTTGCTGGCTGTGCTGTTCCGCATCAGCAGTGTTCAAATGCTCTAGCCAGTGAATTAATTCGGGCTCTTCAGGTCTGCCAAACCAATCCATTTCATTCTCTGAAAATTTTCAATATGCCGGGAACCCACCTCTGTGGAAGAATAAATGATAAGCATATAATAGTTCTCTTCTTGCATCACCGGCATAGACTATTTCTAGAACCTTTATTGAAGCTCACTCAAAAACCGGGAAAATACATTTTAGAAAACTACATTACTGACCAGGATCTGGATGGTCAGGAATTAATCAAGGTAATGAGTTCTCCACATTGAGATTGTCTGTTTAAAACTCATCCAGGCTGAGAGCAATTGAAAGCTCTTGCTCTCTGAAGGCTGCTTGCTGGCAAACATGAAACGACTTCTTTGGCCTCGGTCCAGGCTGCAGCCCATGATCATTCACACCACAAAATCCAGCACCTCCAGTATTGGCAATTCCACATCCCTGCTGGCAATTACAGCAAAAAGCCAAGGAACTGAAGGGAGGAATATGTTGAATGCCTTCTCCCTACAGTTTGTCATCCACAGCCATAGCTGAGACAAACTGACAGAGTATTTTAGGGATGTTTACAACGTTTTCAGTTTTGACACCTTTTATCACCAGTGAATAAAAAGTACAAACACAAAATTCCCACAAAATGAAGAAAGTGTGTTTTGTTTTGTCAAAAGAAATGCTAACTTCAAGCTTTATTAGAATTCAGTAAATTACGTTTGCCAAATAGTAAATGATTAATTTACTCAGAGCAGGTCTACTTGGTGTGGTTAAAATAGTGGTCTGGTTATTCTCGGCCATCTATGTTAGGAAGAAAAGAAAAGGTGTGCACTACCCACAATCATTATAAAATTAAGCATATACAAAATCAGTCTCACCCCTAAACAACCCTGCTTCCCTTTGTGCTTAATCTTCAGATGAAATTTAATAGTTGTGTTCAACCATTGGCCTCTGCTATTTATCTATTTATGCCAATTTAATTAAAATAATGAAGAACTTATTTATTAAAAAAAAAAAAAAGCTTAGAGAAGTCTGCCTGAATCTTCATCCTATGTTTTTGGTAACCACATCACACCTGTGGCTTTGTGCAGGTGATTTTAGCATGAAATGTGCCGATGCTCCTTTCTGCAGCATTTGCACTGATTGAAGTTGGCTCGGTGCCACCCTAGTAATTGAGTTTTTTCTACAAAATGTTCAGGGCACTATAGAAATTCTTTCTTGTATTTTACAAGACCTTATAAAACTTCCAAGCCAGTGTCATGAAACAGAATAGGTTGGTTTTATTTCAGGGGCTCAGGCTTGTTGCTTTTAAAATTCATTTTTAAAATAGATATGTAAAATATTTCATCATTATAAATTCCATTAGGGCATTTTCTCTCATGAGTCTTTTGCTGCTCCTGAAGTTCTTCCTCCAATGATGATGTTGCTGTTTTAACTCAGCACTTTTCAAGGATCCAAATTCTGCTTAAAACTTAAGATTAAATGGATCCTTCCACTGGTTTTACTTTACGCTATTAATAGATCTAGGAATTAATATTCCCCTGAATTAAAAGCAAAACATACCCTAAACAGCCAGTGTTTCCAATTGAAGACTGATATAACTACTGCAAGTACACTTCTCGTACAAAAGAATCAGGTTTCAAATTTCTAGCCATGAGAATTACAGGGTTTGAAGTTCTACCAGGTGCATTTTGGAGCACTGGTTTGCCTTCACTTTTCTTTACTTACAACTTTTCATAACTTAAAAAAAAAAAAAAGGCAGGTACAAGTTTACTGTTATCTGTATTTTTGCTCTCATACAAAGATAAATTGTGGGGTTTGGCCGGTACTTTTGCCTGAAGGCAGCCGTATAGGTTCCCAAGTCCTTTATTTATCAAACAGAAAGGACTCAAAATCTGTTTGCACAAAGAGCCAGTAAGTAACAAAAAGTGTATTTATGTATAAAGATATAAGTGTGGAAGAGGTTCTAAGAACAACTGAATGGCTTTAAAATTTTGTTTTATTGTAATATTTACGGAATATTTATCTTTAAGACTATCAACAGTGAATCCTTAGAGATTCAGAGAAGTTAACCTTTTAAACTAGTATTTCTATTTATATGAACAAGAGACTTGTGTTCAAGATACTTGGTGTAATTAGGGTAATAAATTCCCAGCTCTCTGACTTCCCCTGAATGTAAGCAATATTGAAAGCAAAGGGCTCCAAATGCCTTTTAAAATTTCCTACATCCAGTGAAAGGCATTAAAATAAGCTCTTAGAAGTTTAATGAAGTTTTTAAGGATTTTATGTTTATTTTGCAATATAAGGTGTCCCATTAAAGACCTCACCAGCTTATTTTCTTGACAGGATTTAAAAAAAGCAAGCAACCTTTAAGAAAGTGATAATTTTATCATATATTTGGGTCTCAGTAAAACAGTAAGTGAAGCATCAGGCCTGGTCTAAATTTATAATTCAATAGATTATCATAAGCTAAATAACTGGCCCATACTGTTTTGTAAATACTTTCTCAGAAATTTTAGTCAAACGCATTTGAATAGAAATACTGTCCTCACAACTGAAAATTAACTAAAAGACCATAAAAAAGCTAATCTAAAAAAGCATGGAACTGGAGAATACTGCTATGGAGCCCTGCAAATAGTAATATTAGATCTGGTCCACTAGAGAAAGTAAAATTTAATTGAACAAATGCCAGAGTTACACCAAAATGAGGGAAGGTTTAACGACTGTGGAAGAGAGAAAAAGAACATGGAATCTGACAAAGAAATGTAACTAAAGACACATAGTATCTCTATATTTGCAAACTGAATTCAGTATCACATTAAATGGAAATTTGTTCTTAAAACCAGACAGCAGTTCTGAACTAAAGTTATATTTGCTCTACAGTACTGCAGTTTAATACCCAGTTCTGCAACCCTACAGACAAGCCATCTTTTTTATCTTTATTTTACTGTTAGTAGCTTTCCTATAATCATATAAACATCTGTAGAGAAATACCCATACCCAGATAATCAATGAGGAAAGCCATGATGCCAAGGACTTCGGAGGCAACAGTGGACAGCGGGTTGGCGAGAACTAGGCTGAGGGGCAAGGTCAGCAGGTGAATTTTGGACTGCACCAGCAAAGGAATCATGGCATAGAACAAGGCAGGAAGAATTCACTTTGCTTGCATTGGTGTGTTCCAATGAGCCTCTGAGAACCTTTTGATGATAAAGTTAATGACAAACTTACAGATATTTAAAAAAAAAAAACCCAAACTTTTTGGAGACTGAAAACACTGATACATTAAGGTTTCCTGGTTTCTGATAGTTTTCTTTTGCTAGAAACTAGTGGCACAGTGGAACTAAATTTCCACTCCTGCTCAAAAATACTATCCAAAATACTGTCAAATCTTTCCCATTTTTAACCATATCTGACAAATCAATTCTATTAATGGATTTTTAATATCATCCTCTCCAAAACATTGAAAAAACAGTGATAGCAGAATATTGGGTTTTCCTACAAGTAGTATAACCTTTGCTCAGAAGTTTGTTATACTTTTAGATAGCTTTAGCCATCCAAATCAATGAGGGGTAAAATACAAAAGCGACAGATTTGTTGTGGTAATGAGGTGTTTGAAAGACAGCAGTGGTAACATCAAAGAAGTGATACATACGTAAATATCACTGGAGGAAGGGGAATGGTAAAGAAACTTGCTGAACGGAGGATCCTATCTTGGCATCATGTTTAAAGCAACACTCCTCATTGTATATAAAAATGTTTGACTGATATCCTCTTGATATTATTTATACATCCTCCCTAAGAAAGAGCAGATTTTGAGAACATTTAAAATAAACTAAGAGGACAATCTGGCATTCACATGGAACTAGGAAAATAAAAATATGTATCTTTTTTTATTCAAACATCTAACACCTTCTAATGTTTCTTTTTTAACTTTGAACAGAGGTTTTAGGGTTTTTTTTTCCTTTGTTTCCCCTTTACAAAATGGGCAGTTTTGCTATGCTTTTACCAACTGAGGTCTGAGACAGCCTCTGAGACTCAGAATAAACAGCACTTGCAAAATCGCTGATGACATTTTTGTACCTGCACAAGAATTTCAAATACACTTCCAAATTCTGCTGCTTTGAATTACTTCACTTCCACCCACTGTCACACACTCGGTTATTACAGGCGTTCTGAAGTGCACTTGTAAAAGTGAAGCATCTAAAAGTTCACCACCTGCTTTCTCATGTCCCGGTCCCAGCAGCCAGTGACAATCATTTTTATGCAAACACGTATGGAAGGCAGGCAGGTAGCATTGCACTGCATGGCTTGAATATACACGTTCAGGCTTGATCTCACAAGCCACAGGATTTCTAATAAAAGGCTACCTACAATGGTGTAAACAAAACATCTGTTCTGTGTTTAGGAACATTTCTTAAATAAGGCACTTCAGAGATCTAAAGAACGTCTGGAAACAGAAAATAGTGAACAAAAATAAGCACAATGTAAAAATCTTGGTTTTCTCTCACGTGGAAACTATATTTAATCCCTCGACCACGTTTTGCTATCTTTTACCTAAATTTACGCTCACAGGAAGTCTTTCAGTGCAGAAGAGAAAAATTTGACTCGCCAGGACCCTGTATATAAGTACTTCGACACATCGGTGTGTTTAAGCATAGGAAGTGTCACAGTAGATGAACTAATGGGCCTACTTCAGTAGGAGCAAACCACTAAAAAGAAGAGGAGAACCTGAAATGGCTGATACTGATTACAGCTTACAAACTATGCTGAATTGTGACCAAACAAGAAGTTACCCATCAGAAGTTTATGAAATAATATTTCCTTTTACAAATCATTAGAAAAAACAATTCTGCTCAGATGAAATCCCATTTTCTTACAATACCAGCAGCTCAATTCTATACAGATTTTGATTAGGTTTGATTTATGGTGCAATTTATAGCTTGATCCAATTGTAAATCAGTGTAAAAATGCCTCTCTTCCAAGTGGCTTTTTTGCTCTAACTTTTGTAGACTTTAACAATATCACTGACCACAGAAAAATGAATAATATATTTGTCATGTTGATGGATATGATGTCCTCTTTTCCTGCCTTGCTCTGGTTCAAGTCATATAAACCAAAGTAACTGAAGAACTGAAAACTGGGGTTTATAGATTTTGCTTACAACCTGCTGAGGTTAACAGGCTATTGTTGTGATAACCGTGTTACTGAGGATACAGTGATGTACACTGAATATACACGATGAAAATAAAAAAAATGTTATTTGAAATTATTAAATTGCAATCAAACAGCATAAGCTAGCTAGAATTTCCCATCGAATAAGCAAAGAACGGCCAAGTCCTAAAAACTCTTTGAATCAGTAAGCATCTGCAAAGCAGTTACGAATATAAAATATTTTGTAAACTCTCAGTGTTATCATTCTAAGTATATTAAAATTATATTAATATATATAATTGATGTTAAGTATTAATAGTGCCCAAGATGTAAGTGTCTCAAAATCAGTAAGGTTTGTAAAACTAGGGAAATGATATTGCAACGGCATGCATGTCGAATTGTTTACTTTTCTTTATCCACAGATCATGAAGGAAGTTCGGAGAGCATTGTGCAATGCATCAGCTGATGACAGTAAACTCTTACTTCTCAGCGCAGTGGGAAGTGTATTCTGTAGTGGCCTAGATTACTCATATTTAATTGGCAGGTTATCCAATGACAGAAGAAAGGAAAGCACTAGGATTGCAGAAGCTATAAGGTGACCCAAGCTTACCTATGATCTCTAAATTATGAAATGCAGTGTGTGATTATAAAGATATTTACCAGGTCCAAAAATGTGGTATATTTAAGTGTTGATTGCATTCTAATTATAGTCCTACAAATTTGTTTAGTAAGAAGAACCTTGGACCTTTCCATATTAGAAAAGAAAGCACATTTATTCCAGTGCTAATATCCATAGGGATTTATTTTATTCCATTTCTCTGTATTTAATATTTCAAATCATTCCTCCAGTTCAAATACAACTTTGTTGCTGTTTTTCCAAATTAGCTATTGCTTCATGTTCTAAAGTGGTTCCTGAAAGGCAGATTTTTTACTTGTTTTAATGTTCATCATTTTAATGAATTTCAGTACAAATGGGAATCCATGGCTTACTCATATTCTGTTGAAAGAGCAATCTGCCACTGTATTTCAGAACCTTATTAGAAGGGTCTCCACTCTTTTTCTTAAACTTAAATTACTTAATATATATGTAAATGTAGTTTTATTTTCATAACTAAAATGTGACTTTCCTTATATATATTACATTACCTTAATAGAAATCCAGGGTTCATGACATGCAGTCTACAAATCAATCTGCACAATACATCACCAAATACTTCCATTATCCACAAGGTATACTTCATACATATTTGGCAGATCTTCCAGTATAAATTGACATTACTCCACTAAAGCCAATGGTATTTCACCAGTCTATACCAGGAGAGGGTTTAGTCCCTTTCCCCCCCTCCCCACGCTTCCTACAAATAAATATTATTCTTCTGAGAGCTTTAAAACTTATGCAACAATTCTATAAAGGAATATTAAAGATTTTTTTTTTTACAACAGATCTATATTTTGGATATATTATTATAAAAAGATGAGGTTTAGTTGTTACATGACATGTATTAACCACCAATTATCTTGCTTAGAACTACGGCAGATCAGTTTGGATTCTCAGTTTAATACTTCTGAAATTCTCAAAGTAGTAATTATTTTGAAAGAATTTAAAATGTACTTCTTAAATATAATAAATTACGACCTGTTTTTAAGACCCTAGCTATGCTTGAATATCATGGAGTGATATTTTTAAAAAGAAAAACCCTTTGAAAGACACATCCTAATTTATTTATTTTTTATTGTGAGGGATTTTTAATAATGTGGAACTAAAAAAAACGTGAGGGAAGAAAATCACTATTCTTGTTTGAAAACACAGGCACACGCTTCATTAGAAGAGACATATTTAATATTATTCATGTAAATATTATGTAGATAGGTATTGTTATATATATACATTTATCTACACACATTTAATATACAGGTATACTTATCAATTCAACATTTAAATGAGTGTAAGCCAGACTATAATACTCAGTTTTTCCATCCTTGGACCCCCAGAACACTCCTGAAATACTGGTACTATGTACTGCTCCTTGTCAAGAATGTCGGCTTCAGGCCCACTGGAAATAGATTTTTATTGTACTTCTGGAAACAATACACTACGTTTTCCATTTAGCACTCTCTGTGCTTTCTTTGAACAAAGGACTCAACTCATGGAAAATATACTGTAATAAGAGTAGAAAAAAATGTACACCTCGCTTTTTCAGTGGTTAGGATGTCCTAAAACACATTAACGGATCTCTGCCTCCACTGCTTTACATCAGGTTAGACTTATATCGAAATGAAATTAAAATCTTGATTACCATGTGTTTCCACTTTCTAAAGTACGGATCTCTTATGCTGATCACAAGTTAAAACTGAAGTTTAAGGACCCATCAAGTCTCATCTCACATGAATGATTTATTCATTTGGCCCCTGTCCTCATCCACAGCCTTTGGGGCTTGCAGCTCACAGATGTGACTGTAGCTTCTCTCCAGGTACTGAACGTAGATCCATCAGCCTGAGCTGCCATCATCCAGACATGTGTCTGCCACTGCACTGCTGGAGCAGGGAAAAGGCAGACAGACAGACTGCACTGCAACTGTGCGTATGTGGCCTACAGAGCCCTGCAGCCGACAGACTCACCGGAGGGCATTCCCAGCATCAGCCTCCCTTGTCACATCATCAGTCAGGCATCGCGATGTGACCCGATACATAAAATTCTGGGTGTGTTCAGAAGAAAACAAGGAAGGACAACTTTACTTCCTCAACTTCTTTATAGCCTTTGACATACTTATGAGCCCTGACCTGCAACAAGATCTCTGCAACGATGCAGAGGTCTCTGAGCATCCCAAAGTGTATTCAATGGTCAGCTTCCCAGATATCCTCTAGCAAAACCAAAAGCCTTCTGCATGTGACACTTTTTCCCGTCTTTGAGCTTCTGGCTCTACAGTGCAACAACAGTTACAATTTTAAGTCCTTTTCAAAGACTGCCTTGAAGTGAAACAAGGCTCTTCTAGCCCAACAACTACATGTGTGAACTTCCAATTCGGAGACATGGAAACGTGCCAGGTTCTGGGTACAAAGACAACTCCCTGAAACAAATAACGTACCAAACAGGGAACACAGAGAAGTGAAGTGCTGGACACTGCAGCTTCTGTAGACCAAATGCAGGCATTTGTGCCCCTCGCAAGCTCCCAGTATTTTGGCCTTTCACTCTGCCTGTTGGTTCCATACCCATCCATTGTACCATCCTCTGTGAACCCCATCCTTCCCTCATGACAGAGGCTTATTTTGCCTTCTTAATGTTCTGTTCCACTCTCTCCCCATCTCCAGGTCCTCTCTTCCTTGCTCACTCACATGAAGATTTCCCATTTCCTTCAACCCTTCCCCTCCATTAATGTGTTCTGCTTTGTTCTTCCTCCCCATCATCTAACCGTTTCCTCTCCACATCCCTAATTGCTTTTCCATATTCACTTCCAGTCCCATTTATCACCACATGCTTCCTGCTTTTTTCCACAACACCATTTTCTTCTGCCTCCACATAGTCCTCAGATCTGCTGCCACCATTTATCCACAGTTTGTTCTTTTTACCTATCATTCACCATATCCCTGTTCCCATCTGTAGTCCTGCTTGGAAGGCTTACTTGCTTAACTACTAAGGTTCTCAAAATTTTGGAATTAATCAGGTGCAGTGATCCGCTCATTACTCAACCATAAACAACTGTAGAAATAACAAGCTAAGGGAACAGCATTGCTTCTGCAAACAAAAATGAACCACAACACTCCTTAACCCTGCTATCCTCTAGAAAGAAATGGTCTCAAACAGACAAATTCCTTATTTCACTCTCTTTGTCTTGCCTCTGATCTTCTACTTTATTATTCGCTCTGTGTTTTCCCATGGTCAAAAATCAACTCCTTACTAGATAGCCTGAAAAACAGCACTCATTCATTGAACATTTAATGCCAGGTCACCTCATACTCTGTTTTCATTTAAAATATAGCCAATGCCCTTGCACTTAAGTCCAATAAAATACTTATCTTCCGTATGTTTTCCATTTTTTGCCAAATTGGCACTCTAACCTGCCAGGCACACCTCCTGTTCCCAGATACAGAAGTCTAGGTCTTTTTGACCTCCATGGGAGAGCTGCAACTCATCAAAGGGCACATTTGACAAAATGTTCTTTCCTAAAATCTGTCAGCAAAGATGCACTCTGGACCTAATACATACCCAGTGCAGGAACAGAATCTCCTCTTTTGTTTTGAATTTGATTTATACCTGTCTCTTTTCTAAAGTAATGGAGCATCTCGTTTGCCTCCATATACCTGCTGTGCACTGAGCTGCTGGAGCCCATAATTTGCCTGCAATTACACTCATGCTTTTTCCTAATTGGTGTATAGACTGTTCCATTCAACAGATGTCTTTCCACAGTTGCTGGTAGGTAACTTATTTAAAATACCTCCTCATTGCACAGAATTTAACATGTTCTAGTTCATTTATCCAGATGAATCTGATCACAGTTACTTCCCCGTTATTTTCCATTGCTTCACATTTACTGTTGTAGGCAGACAAGGGCATCTACTTTGTTATGTCTTTGCAAAAGACATTTGCAATGAAGACCCAACAGATCACTCACCTAATTCTTTCCCTGTTCAAATATTTCCCTCTCTCTCTGATTCCCCTTTGTGGGTCTTGTTCTTTCTGCTGGTGTGCCATAAACGTTTACTATCTCCCAGTCCATCATCGATGGGACTTGCAGTAAGCTTTGACAACCTTTTGATCTTAAGAGAACTTTTTGAAAAAAATAAATATTCAGCAACCCAACTTTGAGTTTCCTATCTTTCACACTATAATATGTTCATCGAGTTAGCCAGACCAGATCATCAGAATCCATACTAGCCATTGCGGAACAAACTGAGAAGAGCTATGTGTACAAACTCAGGAGTTACTGGTCCAGAAGTAAAACTAAACCTAACCAAACCATTCTGCAAAAAGTACAACAGTCAATGTCTTCCAATTAATCAATTCATATACAACATATACAAAACTATTTAATATGCCAGGTACTCAGAACGATTAAATAACTAAATATGAGCAAAATTTACCATGTGCAAACTAGAAAGTATCTTGCAATTCTGACCTCATAAAACTGGGCCATGGCATTTATTGTGTTCATCTGTGGTTCTAATTTGTTTTCAGATTAAGTACTTTAAGCTTGGGTATTTATTAAGTGTTACTTCTGTATTCAAGATCTTTCTTTTATTTTTTATTTTAGGGATTTTGTAAAAGCTTTTATTCAATTTAAGAAGCCAATTGTGGTTGCTATCAACGGCCCTGCTCTTGGGTTAGGAGCTTCTATTTTACCACTATGTGATATCGTTTGGGCAAGTGAGAAGGCATGGTTTCAGACACCATATGCAACAATCCGACTCACTCCAGCTGGCTGCTCATCATACACATTCCCGCAAATTCTGGGTGTTGCACTGGTAAGGTTTTCCAACTCAAATTGCTGAAGAACTTTTCTTAAATTCATGCTCTTCTTTCTGTCTTTAATAAGTAAAGCAGAAAACCACTGTTTCTCTTAATTGTCATGAATGGAAATGAAATCTGTTGAAAGTTTATCGATTCCCTACCAATTTCTTATCACAAAAATACCTCAGAATTCAATATATTACACATTCAATATATTACACAAGAAAGATGGAACACGGGTTGAAAAAGCCAAGATTGTCAAGATCATTGTAGAAAAGGGAAGAAATGCATTAGCAGAATAATGTTGCAGAGTACTTGTCTGTTTTGTGTTAGGATTGTGCAGTAACAGAGTGGGATACTGCTCTCTGCTCTCTGAAGACAAGCCATAACAATTCCAGTAAGGTCACTTAGTTTTTACCAGTATAACAAAGCAGAATTTGGCCCACAAAGTATTTTGCACTGGGTTCCATGACTCTTGGCACAGTATCACTATATCGCTGACAGTTACTCTTGTAAAATCAGCAATACAGATTCATCACGCATGCCAGCACATTTCTCTTAAATGAAACCCATGCTGTGCTCTGGCCACCTGCACGATCCTTAAATAGCTACCGAAACTCCTTCTAAAGTATTTTGCAGTATGGAAGGATACAGGAGACCATTTGTAAATTTAATCTTGCAAATAGCAGGCAAGTATGGAAAAAATTTTAAAGAAATTATAACCCAAGATCACAAGTAATCTTTTGGTTTCACAGGCAAATGAAATGTTGTTCTGTGGGAGAAAGCTGACAGCGCAGGAAGCCTGCAGCAGAGGACTAGTGTCACAAGTATTTTGGCCAACAACATTTAGCCAAGAAGTGATGCTACGAGTGAAAGAAATGGCATCCTGCAGTGCAGTGGTAAGAAATCAAACTCCTTTGTGATTAAATCACATGTCACAGAGGTAGGGTGTGCTCCCAAGGCTCATCAATCACATGATGGGTCCTCAGTTTCCACAACCGTACCTGTGAAAGAAGGCTAACAACAGAAGATCTGGATAGGGATCAGTGAACTCGTGGAGTTTCTCATTTTTCCCACCTTTACATTTATTCAATATGAATGGAACCTCCTTGCCCCAGATTTTGAAAGGAGATTTTAGCATAGGTTTCCTTCATGAAGGTGAAAGAGTCTGAAACTATACAACAGTACTGGGAAATTGCAGTAGGGCCAGTAAGAAAATATATTTGCCTTTCACATTGTCCTAGCCTACTATGTTTCAGCTGAGTCTGCCTTCTTTTCTGCACCTGCATAGTTCCTGATTCTGCAAAATGTTCTACACAGTGCACCAGAAGGGTAGGATAGCGCCAGCTAACCTCTGCTGTGAAGGAGAGGTGAGATCCAGACACAGAGGGATTTGAACACAGTCTGGTCACAGTGTATTATAACTTTCCTTTTGTGTACATAAAAGTTGAAAGAAAATCCTTTCTTTTTTTTACTTCCTAGGATTTTTTCCCTTCAGGCAGATATACTCCTATTCTGGGCACATCCTTGATTTTAAAAAAAATGCAGCAAAGAAAGTGATACTGGCTGCAATAAAACGGCACTAACTAAAGTGCAAATTGTTGCAGTTTCTTGCTATACTTCCCATGCCGGAAACTGTCTTAGCGTCCCTCAGTTTCATTTAAAAGATCCGTTGTAAAAGAGAAGGTAGAGACACAGGAGATTTCTAATTAAATGAAGTGTAGATTAGATCTCACAAAAGACATTCAGAATGAAACTCTCTGGAAATGTAGCATAAGCTTATTTGATCATGCTGATATAAAGTGTATTATATGAGTCAGGAAAACCTCTGGGTCTTACTGTGAATTCTTCCTTCCTTCACTGTTATTGGCTGTCAATGAAACTTTCACTTGAGACCTGTTAGAAGGACTGGTGCTAACTTGTGGACAAAGATGAGAGTTAAAATTGTCAAAGACTAGATTTACTCTCTGAGATCCTAAATGCAAATCAGGCTGAAGTCACAAAAGCAATGAATATGATGAGCTCATCCAAGTTCACTGTGGATACTTGTTCACAAACAAACAAAAAAAATACACAGGGCCCACGATTTGCAGTTAACACCATTTACTGGAGTGAAAGAGAAATACTACTTTGGAATAGCAGTGTTATAACCTAAAACAGATAGGAACTGGGCTTAACACGTAGGTGTTGACAAAGCTGAGTGGAGCACATGCATCTCCCTTACCATAAACACTGCGTTAGTTTATATTAAATCTTCTGCCCTCAAAAATCAGTAATGTATGGATTATTCATGGTTTTGTTTGACTAGTTGGGTATCCTTGTGAGACACATACTGGTGTTACATATTCAAAAAGAATTTTAAAGGGTGCAATCTCAGTGTGTTTAAAAATGGGTCTGGGAAAAACAAGCTGAACTATGGGAGCAACCATGGACCTGCTGTTCATGCCTTTAAGAACTTACAGCAATTACTAAGGGCTTGAGAATGGGCTTTCCATTGCAAAACCCTTAGGGGATTTGTTAGGGCTGCTTGTATATGCTAAGCAAATCTAACTCCAGAACACAGAGGGCGCTTGTTTTTCTTAACACCCTTCTTTTTTTAAAATATTTCCGTTTTATAAAAATGTAAGTAAATAAACTTAAAAAGGTATTTGCAGTAAAGGCCCTTTCCTATTAATTTGTCTTTTGATAAGGAAATTACGTGTGAGGGAAATTTGTTAAAGGTGGTGGACATCCACATTTGAGTTTCCAACCTCTGTAACCTTAAAGACTACCTTCCAGAATACGGGTAGCCAATACATCATGCCTCACATTTTCATTTCAAAGGTTCACAGTTTCAACAGGAGGGAGTTCAGCTCCTTCTAGTGCTTCATGGCAGACCTTCAGTAAACTAAGGTACTTCAGAATCCCTCATTCCTTTTAAAAATGTTGGCACTCATGCATAAACCTCAGAAGTCCTTAATTCTTAAAGATGCTGACTATCAGCAAGTGGAGTTATGGCTGTAAATCAAATCTAATTTCTGTGCCCAAAGGAGTTATTTAGATTGTAAAACAGAGTCAGTAGTGTAAAAATGCTGTTCACGCTATTACGCATAATAATTTTTTCAGATTCAAAATAAAATACTGAGTGATATTTTGGCTTTAGGTATTGGAAGAGTCCAAATGTCTCATGCGAAGCTTCCTGAAATCTGGACTTGAAGATGTGAATGAGAAAGAGTGTCAGATTTTAAAAAAGCTGTGGAGTTCTTCCAAAGGACTGGATTCATTATTCAGCTACTTGCAAGACAAAATTTATGAAGTCTGATGTCTTGGCCTAACTTAAGGAGAAAATGCTTCACTTACGAACAGAGTCAAACATTACCTATGTTTGAAAGCAGAGGCAATGCATCATTGAGGAATTTGTGACAGTGTATCCTAATACATATGGTTGTGTCGATTCCCTTGTGAGCTACACAGCTGCTTGTAGCTGGTTTGATTTTGTGTAACCGAGACGTAGGCAGGCTTGTTCAGTGCACATAATCTCTACAGAGGGCTGCATCTTTCACATGCTCATCCAGATAAAAGTATACATTCCATGTGCTGAGAAGCACCACCGAGGCCCAGTAAGGCACACCATCTGTAATGATTTATTTTGTCTGTCCTTCTTAACTTATTCTTGCTGTTGCAACACATCTGGGCTGACACAGAGGGCTCAATCTGAAAACTGGGTCAGCGCAATATTTTGTAGACCCAAACACCATCCTTTAGAAATATTTTAATTATTTTTTTCTAAGTTCTAACAGTGTAATGGAAAAATCTGATAATTTATATGTATAATATGTAAAGTTAGTTTTACAAAAACTACTAGGATTTTTTTCTTTGTTGAATTTATTTAACTTATTTATTTTGTGTTCATATTCAGCTGTTTATTGATCACAGATCTTATTTTCATACTTCCCTTGACTGAATTAATGGCATCACATGAGAATGCAAAGACATTTTTAGCAGCAAAGTGTGTAGAAAAATAAAGAATATATAGAAAACACAGAATGCTGTGGGCAGTAAAAGAAACAGCCACGTGCGTGCTCCTCTATGTGCAAAATTGTACAAAAAATGTATGAACTAGATTCATTTGCCAGGGTTAAGGGGAAAAAAAGTCGATTCTGAAAGAGTGAGTCCCCCCCTAAGTCTCTCTTCACTTTCTGCCTTCTTGAGGAGCATTGAAGGGCTTGCCAACAGATGCTTTATTTAAGTTTACTATATTCCTGTTAGCCGGATGTCAGTAACAGGGTGAGTGGTGCCGTTATGTGGCATCGTACTGTTTTTCAGGTTTAAACATCCCCTTTTGGTCTGAAGTCTAAAAGCAAATCCTTATGAGCCTTAGTCTAGTTGCCCGATTCCTCGGGTGTGAGATAATTTCTGCTCTGGAGGCCTTTGGGTGTGGGCCAACGGTTTATACAAGGTGCTAGGTATTGAACTAAGTGGAGGGAGAGGTTTTGTTTTGCTTTTCCCAGCTCTCCACATCTGGCCACCCCACCATCTGTTACAAGAACTTAAGGCTATCCATAAAAGCAGCCCACAATAAACGACAAAAATCCAATCCGCTATTTTAGAATGTGATCCTAGTACTTTTCAGTGACACTGACTGACTTCTGAACACTGGATCTCTCTCATTTCTTTCTTGCTAGTAAAGCGATTAATATGGAAATAACACGAGCATGCTCTGTGACTTCACCTGCCATTTTGGTATGCCCAAATTAAAACCTCTTGAAGCAGAAGCTTTGCACATTTGTTTGCTTTGTAATTTATGCACTTGCTCTCCATCCTTGAGCTCAGTGACTTGCTTATGGTTTAAACGTCTGCAAATGAGGCTGCTAGGTTTTCTCCCTCCCAGTATTTCCATGAAGAGTTTCAACAAAGCCTTTGGAAAGTTAACGAACAGGTGATTATAGTAAACAGTAGCCTTCAACACATTAATATAACCTTTCTTTCTTTTTCCACAAATAATTAGAAGTGCTGTGTCTATGGCCTAGTTGAACCACTGCATTTTAAGGAAATCATTACTCTAAAGGCAGAAGTTCTCATGGAAATTCTTCATTAAAAAGACAAAACCTGGCTTCTAGTTAGCCTTTTTTTAATGTTTTCAAAAAAAACTTATCGGAACAAGTAAATTATTTTTAAATGTCTGAAACAGAACTCTTTCAATAACTATCTGCAGTGGTAGATGCACCACTTGTTTTATACTAACACTTGCTTATTTCCACTACGTGCCAGCAATGCCACAGAGCGCATGTGCAAAGAGTTGGTTGGATCAAGGCCACAGCACCTCCTGCCATGCCAGTGTGCGCACGTGAGTCACCTGCATGGCAGTCCCGTTAAAATGAGATGGATTACTCAAGTGAAAACCACTCACATGCATACGTGTTTGCACAATCAGGCCTCCAGCATATGACTTCAGAAAAAAAAAAGCAATGGAAAGTACCGTGATTCCTCAATTTCCTTTATTTCCTTTATTCCCGTCCAGAGAGCCATAACTCCTAGTCATGTGTTAATAAGATATTAGGAAGTTTATTTCAATACTATGCTTGGGTTTTGTAGATAAATATAGAAAAATTGCTCAGCAATGTGAAGGTATGCTTTCCGTATGAGATTTTCAAACAGAAGAATCGTAAGTTGTTAGACCTTCAAACTGCATCATTTCATCTGAATTTTCAGATATCTGTATCTTAGCTTTTTTTATGACAAAGGAATGGTTGAAATACATTTTCTATAATTATTTTTCCATTAAAGCAAGCGCTAACCATAGTTAACATTTTTAATTATTCATATCTATACAGTTACAATCTAGTTTTCATGGAATCTATTTTCCCTTCAAAAAAGAGTAGTAACAATGTCAAAGGCTTCTTTTTCCATTATTTAAAGATCGGAATCAATTTTCTGTTGTGTTTCTGTCCTTACTTGGTATTCAGATATCTAGATGTACTGTACATATTAGTCTGGGTACCTTTACTAATATTCACAGTATTTAAGACTATAAATGCAATTTGTTGTTAAGTATGTTATTTTATTCTTGTGTAAATTGTTTTGTACAATCTTTAAAAATCTACAGTTTTGCATTTGTAGATATTAAAGGTAAGCAATTTATTTTGTGTTGTCCTGCATGTATATTTTTGCTGTAGATAAGTGTTGCTTAGTTTACTATTTCAGTACATTTCTGTTTAAATGAATAAGCTTACAAACTTTAATACAGTATATATTTTCAGAATATAAACTTTTATATTTCTGTGGTAGGTTAGGGTATGCGTTTTAGGCAATCTTTTTCACTACTATTAACTGTTCTTTTAATCTATAATATAATGGTTTTGTGCCAATAGTTTTTCATTAGAATAAAAAGCTCTTTTAATGTTAGGGATAAACAGACAATTTTGGTTGGGGTTTGTTTTATTTTATTTTTTTTATTATTATTATTTTGCCAGCCTTTACAGTTTTAAATGTAATTTATAAATGTATTGCATTTGTGAATAAGCCTTACCATTAGGTACAAGAAATCTTTAAAGCTACATAATTGCTTATGTAGTACTAAGGACTTCCCCAAATAATTGCTGTAAGAAAGTTAGCAAATCAGAGTACAGGGCCTTAAGTTTTTCTTGTGAAAAGGGTAATACGGGTTGTTTCTTTTGAACAACATAGGTAGACTTGTCAGCATGGGCTTTGTTATATATAAACTGTGCATTTGTGCTCCCAACCACAGTAGTTTAATCTCAGGCTTTGTGTGGCTGGGTCTATAAAAGTCAAATCTGGCTAAAGCCAGCACTCTTTAGGAGACACTAAAGAAGTTTACATAAGAGACTTATAGACAATCTTAATCATAGTACATTTGGGTACTCGGTATCCTAGATGTGTTATCTGTGTCTGCCCAATTAACCGTATGTTTTAAGCCATATTAAATCTCTTTACTGCTACTTTAAATACTACACTGAAAGTCATCCACTAGCTTGCTTACTCACAGGCAGGATTTCAATTTTTAGTGAATAAAAATATTATGCCTTCCATAAAAACAAAGGACCAAAGAATTGCATTATTCTAACAAAGCATTAGTTCCTTCGCCAGTGAACTAGTTTGACATTTGTACTGAAGATCAAATAGTCTCTTTCTGCTACAAACGCTGCATTCTCATCCGTGTCAAGTGTAAGGGGAAAAGATGTATCCACTGACCTATTGGGAAAAGAATGACGTTCAGCTAGGATGGCATGTCTATTGGTAAGGCTTATTACCAAACCTCTGAGATAAAGCAAAGAACCAAAAATTCACAAATTATGTCAATGTAAATTTATTTTCAGAACTTGCACAAATAATTAATTGTAGAACTTTGCAAATTAGGCCCTTAAGTTATTTTGTCAGAACGCCATGGAACAGACTAAAACAGTTTCTAATATTTGTAATGATGAGTACATATTATAATATTATAAGGGTACAGGCACCCCTATATCACAGTGTTGTAAATATTTTCTGAAACTGGTACAGTACTGAGGGACTTGTATCTTCTGATATATCAAATATTGACTGTCTAGATCAAATTGTACACAATTTATTTGTTGATGGTCCTGTAACTAGTGTATGGACACATTTCTGGGTGCCTTAGAAGTTGTATTTTTCATGTGTGTTAATATGCAGTATTTATACATTGTGAGAAGCTGCTTTGAATAAAAACATTGAAACTTCATTTCAATGCAGTGATTTGCAGTTTTACATAATCAGAATGAATGTGAAAAGTAGTAGCCACAGACCCTTGTATTATATATGATAAAGCTATTCATGGACTCCTGCCTTTTAAAAGATACCAGGCATACAGTGGGCTTTTTTTAAAAGAGAAATTAAAACCTTTTTTTTTTTTCAAATGGCAAAAAACAGGGCACTAAAAGACACTGCAATAAGAACTCTCTGAAGTCATTCATCATCATCCATCTCATTTATCATTTCATGATCAAATGCAAGAAAACCACCAAGAACTGTCTTGTAAATGTACTTCTAGGACAATTTCTCCACCATTATCACTTCTGCTATTTGATACGTGCCCAACACCTAAACATACCTCCCCAGAAATACTGCATACAGTATTTCAGCTCCACATGAGAGAAATTGATTTTGAAGTGGTATTTGCCAGGGAGGACAAGATTCAGCCCTGAACCCCCTTGGTGGAGTCTGAAGCTGGATCACCCAGTGGTCCTCCTACATGCTTATAGGTGGCAATCCTTCCATGGGGTCTCTTGGGGTGATCGTTTGGCTGTAGCATCCATGAATGCTGTTTCCAATCATGTATCTCCC